CTGAACTGAACTGAACTGAACTGAACTGAACTGAACTGAACTGAACTGAACCAAAATGAACTGAACTGAACTGAACTGAAGATTTTTTGCTTATAAAAGTCCTTGCTGGCTCAGAACTTCTTCAAGTGAGGATTCATTTATTCGAGTTTCATTTGAAGTTTCAATTTTTTTGGCCATCAGAAAACAAATAATCGATGTATTTAGATGCCAAAGATTTCCTTTTCCTGATTTTTTTATTTTTTTAAAGGAAAAATAATCCATGCATTTCTTTAGAATGAACTTGTCTGTTAAAATGCAATGTTTGTTAAATCTTTGAAGGAACCCTGAATTCATACAAACTATCTCTTTTTTTTCTTCTTTTTCTGTAGGACCATTCACCCCAAAATGAAAACTGAGCTGAAGGAGCAGGATGGCTTTAAACTCTAAACACCTTGGATCACACTTGTTTTGATAACCAATCATAAAAACCAAACCGAACTTTAAAAAGGGACTAAAAGCCTAGTTTCTGATTTGGATCATATCCGGACCACAGCCATCATGCCGATCCTCAAGCAGCTGGTGAACAACTCCAGCCAGTCCAAGAGGAGGTCCCGGGGCGACCTGACGGTGGAAATGATCAGCGCTCCGATGGGGGACTTCCGTCACACCATGCACGTGGGTCGAGGCGGCGACGCCTTCGGAGACACTTCGTTTCTCAGCTCCAGATCGGGGGAACCTCCGAGGGAACCCCCGACGAAACAGGCCTCGCCAGGTCTCAAACCGGGACTGCTCAGCCGCACCTTCAGAAGCAGCAAGCGCTCCCATTCTGTCAACCGAGGAGATAACCTGGGGTACAGTACAGGAAGTCTGCCGTCCGGCTCGACTCAGTTTGTGAAAACCGCCACATCCCTGCCTTACCTGAATGATGACAGTTCCAGCAGGAGCAACGCGCTGCCAAATAGCGCCTCCAGTCCGATGAAGACGCTGGCAGAAGCAGAAAAGAAGCCGATGAACGGCGGGGCAGCTTTGGCTACGATTGATCCGGAGCTTGAAGAGCGGAATTTCGGTGAAATCAAGGAGCTGCCTCCGTCCATGCCTAAAAGAAGTGGGATGAAACACGCAGAGTCCATAATGTCCTTCCACATTGACCTGGGTCCCTCCATGCTGGGGGACATCCTGAGCGTGATGGAGAAGAAGAGCTGGGAAGACGACGACCTCGGCTACGAGGAAGGCAGAGTTAACGAGGAGCACGCGTCGCCGTCCCACATCCCTCACATCGACGACGACGACGCAGAGGAGCGGGCTCCTTCCAGACCGCCTCGCGGCGAATACCAGCTCCAGCAAACGGCCGAAGCGGATCCACACATTCCAGAGCTAAACGACAGGAACCACCACAACACGGATAGCTGCTCCGTGTCCAGCTCCGGCTCAGAAAAACCTCAGTACAACGTCCACGACGCCGACGCCGACAGCGCAAAGTACAGTTCGCCACGCGGGGAGGATGACTTCACCTTCATGGATCAGGAGGACGATGAGATCAGAGTTTAGATTCAGCAGAACTCTGTGCCATAAAGCAAAAAAATAACAGATCAGGCTAATGTTAGATCAGTTATATCAACACTATAAATAATCAGCCTTTATTCACTTTATAGCAAGGAGATGGAAAACAGACTGCTTTAAAAGTATATTTTTTGAAATGTTTGGATTGGTTGATGCTATTTTTACCATATTTTTTCAAGTCTGAAATGATAAAATTGAAGAAAAATCAGCAGGGGAGAGCGGAGGAGTAAAAGGTTTGGGCAGGATTGAACAGCAGATGAGAATGTGGAGCTAAAGGACAAGAAATAAAAAGTTTATTTTGTAATCCGAGCAGTTTGCAGGTGTAGACACTACAGACGGAGATATTACTTTCGTTCAGGTCTGAGTTTGCTGTTAAATCATTTTGTGTACAGACACTATCAGGAAGTTAGTCCATCATAGGCTCTTATATATGAGGCAAGTTCATTTTATTTGACATTTTATTCCTCTGTGGAATGTAACATTTTAGAATAGTTTTTTTTTTAAGGGGTTAATTGGTTGTAGTAATTTTCCGTCTTAAAGGTTTTAGTATATTTGGTTGAGGTACGACTCTAAGGTACTACGCTGTGATCAGTTTCACTGTCACCATGTGATCAGCTTCAGAAATCAGATTTTTTTTTAAATAATGTTGCATAATTTCTGCTTACGACATCATGACGCCTTATATCAGTTTCTTGGATGCACAAAAGAGCAACTGCATAACTTTTTAATCCTCTGCAAACTGCAGACGGCTTTTTTAGATGTATTTTCTTTTCCAATACGCAGTGATGTTGTTGTTTTATTGAAAATGCATAAATGTATTCATTGACGTTATTGAAGGTGGCTCTTTAAAGTCTACCCAGTCCCCTCTAAAATACCAGGTTTTAACATTCTGAGAAGAGATTTCACAGTTTTTTCAACATTTTAACACAATTTATCCACATTTAACAAACAAATTTTGTTAATATTATCCATAATAAAAGAAAATATAAAAAAAAAAAGCTGCTATAGCCAATGTTTTGGTACCTTTAGCATTAATTTATAGATATTAAAGATGCAGATGTAAGATTGTTTTTATTTATCCTATCTAAATGATGTCTCAGCATATCCAAATTCAGCTTCAGTATTTTGGCCATCTGTAGTTCACATCAACCCTCCATTACAGTGAATCCAGTTGACCTTTTACATGCAACAGACCCCCCTTTTCTCCCATATCTGAGGAAAGAAGTCCATTTTTTATTTTTTTTCCCCAAACAGCATATCAGTTATCTAAAGCAGCGGTTTCCAACCTTTTTTTGTGCCACCGACCGGTTATATGTCAGACAATATTTTCACGGACCGGCCTTTAAAGTATGGGAGATAAATACGGCCAAATAAAATGATCCGACTGGCATAAAATCAAATACAAACAGCAAAACTCACCATTATGTCGAATTAGCGGGAGCCCTGAGCTTGTTTCTCCGAAAAAAAAAAAAAACGGTCCCATCTAGGCGTAATCGGAGACAATGACAGACGAAGTGTGCTCCTGATGTCCAGTCTGCTCCGTAGCTTCGTTTTGGTTGCTGTAACCGCAGAAAATCCCGCTTCACAAAGATAGGATGTTATATAAACACTGCAAAAAATTGAAATCTAAATAAGTCAAAGCTCAAATTAAATGCATTTTTCTTGAATTGAGGAGGTAAGTGAGACACTTTGCCAATGGAACAAGACAAGACATTTAATATCCGAAAAAAAAGAAAAAAACTGCTTTGATTTATTTCAAGTGTATATTATCTAATTATCTTGTTTTAGGAGTAAAAATACTCATTCCAGTGGCAGATCATCTTATTTACCTGCTCAAATTCAGGGTAAATACACTTAATTTAAGCCATTTTTTACTTATTTCTAGATGTTTTTGCAGTGTAGGATGAGTCTTGACCTGAATTAACCTGTTTCAAGAGGCACAGATGCACCAAATTATGTAATTGGGAGAGAATACCCACATTTTGTATATTTTTTCAAAATAAAACGTCACTCAGACTCTGATTGTGGATAAATATATATATATATATATATATATATATATAATCTTTTGAAAATGACCGACCGACGGTTGGGGACGGCTGATCTAAATCACATATCAAACTTCAGGTCCGTGGGCCAAATCTGGCCCCTAAAGGCAATTTATCCGGCCGTGCAGAAGCAAAAAATTATGTCATAAAGAAGAGTATAAAGTTTTTTAAAACTGCTATTTTAACTTTACTCTCATTTATTCTGCAGAGCATTTTTTTTATAAACAAAATGGGGAAATATAGAGTTAGATTTATACAGCTTCATTAGCCCAGACAGGCTGATATTGATGTATCTTTGGTTGAAAATACCCTGAACCGGTGAACTATAGTGGCAGCTCTGTCCTCTGAACAGGAAACTGTTTCCATTCAGGAAGATGAATTAAAGCGTGGTCAATATTGGCACAATAACTTACAGAAAATTGAAGATAACAAGGAATAAATGTTTTCAGCATCACCGTGTATCTTAATAAACATTGCTGAGTCAGTAGACGTCGCCCAGCCATGATATGAATACATTCCTGTGCTTCAACCTTCAGTTTAAAGGTTTAAAAGCTAATTTATGCTTCAGTTTTTCCCTCCTAACAGATTTCCGTCGGCCTCTGCATGGCGTATGTCTTCCATGTGCAAAGAATTTTGTAAATTATATTTATTAAAAGTATTTTTTATCTCCAAACCTGGTATTTTACGGGGTGTGCGTAATACTTGGGAGGAGCTGAAGCATTAGGAGGTCAGTTTCTCCGAGAGTCATTTTAAAAACATTTGGCTTGTATTTCAAAGCAGGAAGGAGTCAGAGAAATGTGTTCAGTGTTAAAGTGCAGGCGGCCAACAGAAGGTTTTTGGTATGTCTGTGAGCGCCAAAAAAAAAAGGAACATTTTCTTCTCTTAGCTGTTTCCACCTGAGAAAGGTGATAATATTGATCGTCTCTTTGCAACTGAAATCAAACTGCAGGATTTTATACAACAATGTTATGAGCTGGTCTGTTTTTTTTTTTGTCATTAAATATTTGATTCCCCCCCAACTTTCAGCAGCTGGAACATCCAGGTGGGCTTTTTGATCTTCAGCCTTTCTAAATGCGTTAGGGTCTGCTTTACGCCACAGGTTTAGCTATAAATTAGAGAGGAGTGCTTTCCTCCCTACATCAGAGAGAAACGTGACCTTTTCATTTAATTCGGTGCTAGAAAACTAATTGGCACCTTTTAACGAATAGAAGCTTTGAATTTTCCGCTGTGGAACAGCTGCAGGTGTGCACACACAGAATCCGGATGCTGTGCAAGTTATTTCAAAAGCTGGAACAAATCGGGTTCAAAAAGCTTCAATTTTAAAAGGATATCTGCAGGAAATTACCAAACATGTTGATTTACACTAAAGTTCTACCCACCTTCACCAGACTGGGTCATAATTAGCTCCATCAAACAAACTTGTGAGGATTTTTTTTGTGGTTTTTATCAGAGATGAGTCACTTTAAATGTCTCTTCCCGTGAATGTGTTCCTCCTTCTATTTCTGTAGAGGATTAATATGCAGAGAGAAATGTTTCCTTCTCAATTTTTTCCATTTATCTTAATGCAAACAGAAACCCTCAACCAACCAGTCCATTTTAATAGGCAGCTTTAATGTGGAAACCAGCTGACATTTCCTGCTCACGAAGCAGGATTACTAGTTTTTCCAAGGTAACTTCAGACTGCAGTTACCTTCAACACTAGGGGTTATCACCATGGTAACAACCCACTACTTTCTAGATTCCTTCAAAAATTTATATAATAGAAATCACAGGTTGCAAGAACTTTGACATGTATCCCAGCAAAGCTCAGTCTTCTGTAGCCTCTGATACTGAGATTGATTGATATTCAGGATGGAGATGAGAAACTATTTCCCACTTTATTCTCTTGCTAAGGTTTCTGCTTTGCCATAGAAATGGAAAGAGCTAAGTAAGAACTGACCAGTGGAACCAGTTTGGTGGAAACCCCAAGAAAAGAAAGAAAACATTTGGCATTTGTGCTGATGAGTTGGAGGTGCGGCTATTTGTGATTTAATGTCTTTCCTGACAAAGTATTTGGTAATTCGGCTCTTTATGCTCCATTTTAACTCATGTTTTATTGCATATTTATTTTAAAGGAAAAGTCCGGTCAGCAAGGAATAATCAATAGATCATTATTTATAACTAAAACGAATACGTTTGCAGTAGGGATGGAACGGTTTATGAAAACCGTCCGAACCGTTCGGTTCGACTGTCTCGGTTCGGTTCGCGTGTGTT